TGTAAACCAGATTCTTTTCCAGCCATTGTTGCACAAATGTTCATCAAATCCAAGACCCGCGAGTTTGCCTTTGAGAATAAAAAATTCGATAGTGGTGAAAATCCTACGAATTTGTCTTTGATCAAATAGTTTTTGTCAATGTGTAGAATAACGATGAACAACTGCTCCTTTCTTGATATGCCAGACGGTTTGTTAGCCAAAATAGAAAAGCCATGACGTTTCTAGTTCAGTTTGGACATGAATTGAAGTATACTTTGCATTATTAGTACATAACTCAACGTAATTTTGTAGCACACATCTGGTTGTATTTTAAATTTTAATAAGCTAAATATTATTGTGTGTCGTTATAAATGATAGAAAGTCGCTTCTTTCTATTCTTCTTCACCTATCTCGCAGTGGAAATATTGATTTGTTGAATGACATCTTTCCATGTATTTTCCATTAAGCATTTAAATGTTTCTGCCATAACACTTGACTCTTTGTGCCGTCCAGATACGGTATGTTTTTTACTGCATTTATACATATTCTTAATTTTTTTGAAGGTCGAAGCAACGAAAAGTGCGTTGTTAACATTACACCTATCCCCCGATTTACACGGAAGATAAGTTCCGCAACAAAAGTGTAAATCGCACATTTTGGTATACGTAAAACCGTGTAAATCGAAAACAGTCTAAAATCTGCATGATTCAGACATTTATTTTAACGTAAATAAATAGTACATGTATTTTCTAATACATAAAAGTGAAAGTCTGTTAATAAAATTTACAACAAACAGTAAAAAGGTATAGGTATAAATATGAAATTAACCAACTAGAAGATATTACAAACTGCTATCTATTACCAATTAATCTGTTCTTCTTAACTAGCATTATACTTGATACGATTCAATGTTGGATTTACTTGAAACAGTTTCAGCTTAAACAGATTTCTCAATGAAGTAAATGAAGTAATAAACCGGTTTTGATCAAATCTTTATAGGTTCTCATATTCAGATAAACATATTATTAACATCTCTCTGAAAGCGGAAAGCTCGTTGTACATTGTGATCTTTCGCGGATCACTTTGGTTTAGACTCCACCTCGTCTGTATCATATTCGCGGTTTGTCATTTCCAACTAAATACTACACCTGGTCACAATGTTTTTCAGCACACATTCAATGTTGATTGTTTAATTTCGGTATACGACAATTCGATATAAATGTTAAAATTATTTTCTGATCTAAAGGTTGCAATAAAGAAGTCGTATTCTTGGGTAAAACTACAATGTCCACATTTTCATGGTACAAATCTTGAGGATGGCCAGATGGTTTATCAATTAACGAATGGCTTTAGAATGTAATCCCTTCTTACTTAAATATTTTTTAACGTATGGAACGAAAATTTTATAAAACCATTCACTAAAAAGTTCACAGTAACCCAGCCTTTTTTATTAGCCATCCAATAAACAGAAAGGTTGTTGATGTTTATTCCTTTAAATGAACGTGGGGTTTTTGATTTATCAACAATCAATGGCTTCTTCCAAAATAATCCGATCTCGTCAGCATTAAAGACCTGGCCAGGAGTATAGAAATTACTGGAAATAATTTCAGTGAATTTTGCTGCATACTGCTGCGCTGCATTTGAATCAGCAGATGCTTATTCACCTTTTTTTCAATCTTACGCTACGTAAAGAATGTGTCTGTTTAAATCTTTAAAGCCATATCTCGCGGAGAAAGATGGCTTCCTTACAACTTTAGAAATAGATGGTGACTGATTCTCAAATTTTTCATAAAGCTTCAAAATCCTTATTTGCGATTGTATTGGTATCTACTGTAACCCTTTTTGGAGTTGTGTCTTTTAACCATATCATTAATACTTTTTCCATTTTTCAATTGTAACATACTCGAGACTGTACGGCCCAACATCATACTCGAGAATCATCTATTTGGATTGATTTATGTGCAAGGAATTACAAAAATCAGCTACAGATTTCTTTTTTTTCTCTCATTTCCAAAACCGCATAAAAGCGAAATTGTGTAAATAGAGCACCGTGTAAAGCGACGGATAGGTGAAAAAAAATAGTAATGTTTGTTTGGTACGATACAATCGGGTAGTGAAAGTTTCAAGAAAACTTTACATTATTTGATTAAAACGATATGGGAAGAGGATTGCAAATGGATTGGAAGAAAGCCATAATATGTTCTATATATAAGAAAGGAAACTGACTGTCTTGTCAAAGTAACCAAAGAATATCTATTATGTATTAAATGAACGACTCTATCTATACGCAGAAAAGATAATAGGCGAATATTAAACCGAATTTAGAACAGGAAAATCCACAAGATATAAATGTGTACAACATATTTATAAACCGAAACATGTGTCATCAGTGATGACTCATCACAAGGGCTTAACCAAGATGATAGGCTGGCTCCAGCACTATTTAACCTCGCCCTTGACTATGTAATAAGCAAAATGGATAGGAAGATTCAACCTACTGTTCAATAAAACTGTTCAAATGGCTGCAAATGCAGATATCAACATTAGATGAGGTGAATAATGAAAGACGTAGAGGAAACATACAATACAATAAAAGAAGCTGCTAAAGTAGTAGGATTAACGATTACACGGAAAAAACAAATATAACGCTCCAATGTAGAGCCAAAACGTAACGAATAACACGATAACGGAGATTGGAGAATGCTAAGAAACAGAAAATGTAAGAAGTGAGACTGAAAGGAAAACCACGGAAAATATGGGAGGAGGCGGTTGATATTGATATAAAGAAATGCTGGGATGCAGGAATTGGAAGAGAGAAGTATGATATAGAGAAGTATGGAAGCTACAATTGACAAAGCGCAGGGTTGCCGACAGCGGACTGCAGCAGATAAAGAGAGAAGGCAAAAAGTGTCGCTCCTGTATTTCCTGATTACAACGTGTTGGAAGAACGATTTTTATGGAAAAGGTAATGAAGAAATTGAACATTACATGTGTTAAAATTTAATGGCCACTTTTTCTGTTTAATGATTTTTCTAAAGTAACCTTAAAAATTTATCTATAAACCCATTTAAATGAGGTATGCGAACAAACATTGTTTAGTATCTTGCAATTTTAAAGTGATTGGCTTACAACTCTATATGCACCAAGGCTTCTCAGAATACACCTTTTATAATTATCAGTGAGATAGCAGGACTAAGGAAAAGTGTTGTACCGTTTGGTGATTAGTTTTCGCTACAGAGACAACGTGATAGTATTGGAGAAAAGAATGTCTTTCTGATATTTTAGTACCGAGAGACAAGATTTGGTTGCCTCTACTTATAACTTAATTTGGGATAGCAGGACGAAAGAAAAGTGTTGTACTGATTGGCGATTAGTTTTCACTACAGGGATAACGCGATAGTATTGGAGAAAAGAATGTCTTTCTGATATTTTAGAACCGAAAGCCAAGATTTTGTTGCCTTAATTTGGAATAGCAAATATTTTGATAAAATCATTAGATAAAATCACCAGGATTTTCGGCATGTGAAGAATTCATTTCCATGGATAAGTGATGTAAGAATCTGCCATGGAATAAGTTATAATCAAATAAAATTGGTGTTAATTTTATAGGTAAACTAATTAATCCAAACATACGGAAGTTGTTAAAACATGATGCATTCAAGACCAAATTAAATTTAAATTAAATTAAAATAAGGTATGGATTTGTATAACTTTTTAGGAATTTACAAATCGGAAAAGTTTCACCAAAAAATACTGGTGGAAACGAGGCGGAATGCTCTTCGAGTGTGACTCCAGATCAGTTGCAATAATTTTGGAGTAGCTCTTCAAAAGGATTAATTTAATTTTTATTCTAGTTTGAATTTTACTGAATGTTACAGCAATTTCACATTCCATGCAGGATAATGCTTCACCTGGGGTCAGAAGTTGTATTTATTATTTGCTAAAATTCTATATAGTTCTTTCGCTCACCAACTTTTGACCAACCGTGTAAGGTAATATTTAGAAGTAGGGATTATTGAACGAAGGGTGAGCCTCAATTCAAAAGAGGAGCCATTACCTGGTACACCGATGTTTCAAAGATAGTTGGATCCGGAGTAGGTATTGGCATTAGTGGACCAAATAGCCACATTAAATTGCCCTTCAGCTCAGACATAACAATTTTTCAAACTGAAGTTCTTGCTATAAACTTCTGCACCGTTTGAACTTAGAAAAAGGACTGAAAGGTGCATCGATAAACATTTTCACGGACAGTCGGTCTGACCTAAAGGCAATTCAGGCCTAAACGTGTGAATCCGCACTGATCAGAGAATTTACCAGCAACCTGAGAGAACTCGCTAGGAGCAATGATGTTACTTTATGATGGATTCCAGGTCACAAAGACGTTGAGGACAATGAAAAGGCAGTCAAGCTGGTCAAAGAGGCAGCGAAGAGGATCAAACTTGTCGACTTTGTAACGATGAGTCAGAGACTGCTAAATATATACCGTGTGAATGCGTCTGAGACGCCGCCCGAGACACAAAATATTCGCTAAAGTTTGGAAGTAAACCTTTGGAGGGCTTAAGTTACAATATAACGTTTTGCACGTTATTTTAAATGCATCTGTACTAAAAACTTGACCGGTTCCGAAAAAACTAAGTATGTATACATTCGTGATCAGCACTCTGAAAAGACTAGAAACAAAATCAGAACTCAGTAAGCTATTACAGGCAAACTTAAAGAAACAATGACAATAAATAATTTCTGTTTGCTATGAAATCTATATTATAAAGATTTTGTAAAGCTGTTTTTTGGGAAGAAATAATTGCAATATGCAGTTTTTGAAAACATTCATAAAATAATGTGCATTATATAGAGTTAACGATAATACCAATAATTTACAAGGAAACTACCTAATCATTCAAACGTATATATATTATAACGTACGTAATTATAAATTTTTTCGATAAATTTTTAAATACGCAATTTCAATTTTTTAAATATTTTCTTTCTCTTGTAACTAACTAATTTTATTTTGTACTTACCAAAATATCAACAGAATTTCTTATTTTTTCACTTTCCTCTTTAACCTTGTATAAACGTTCCTGTAAAGGCTTTTTTGGATCATTTACGTTAATTCGAATCGGTAATTTCAACATTCCCATTGAAAAATGGTTTCCTAAATCGAATTCTTTTTTACCATCATATGTAACAGTATAATTCAAATTTTTATCGAATCGTTTCAAAATGAAAGATAAACACATGGTTTCGGGAACCTCTTCCGCGTATTTCGTGAAATATTCATGAAAACTGGCTGAAATAGCTGTTAGTATAACGTCCGAAAACGAACAACCCGGAATGCGTTTTTTAATCGATTTGATTTTATTAACGTAAACCGGATTTTCTTCTAAATAAGAGGTTAGAATTTGTTTTCCGGATAAGCTTGGACCGTGTAAGCAATTTTGATCACGATTTTCAATCGGTGCAAAATAGTACACGTTAAGATTGGAAATTTTTTTGATGGTGTCAATAACTTTTGTAACATACGAAGATAAATTATTCTTTTTTGGTGGTTTCGTGTTGTTTTTCATAATTCTTTTAACGATTTCTTCTTCAACGTTTATTTTTTCATCAGATACATTTTTCAATAGAAAACTTAGCAATGCGACACCATCTCCTACTGAATGATGAATTCTTAACATAATTGGATAAACTTTCTTACTATTTCCATTATTGTTATTACAGCTGGGTGAAAATGTAATAGGTACCATTGAAGCTAACAATTGAAAACAAGCTGTATCATTAATAGGCATCGGTTGATTACTTATTTTTCTTAAAGCATCCTCAAAAGCATCTTTATTCGACAACTCTTCGTCGGATAAATTCCACTTCGATATTAAGTCTTCGGGCTTTATCCGATTTAAAAGTCGAAAATAATATCCAAGCTCTCGTTTTCGAACGCACGTAAATTGATAAACCAGTTTTTCTTTAAAAACTTCGTAAATTCGTGCCATAATGCTTTCTTTGGAATCATTGTATTCAATATACATTAAAGCATTTATGATGTGTCTTGACTGCTTCGTTTCAATTGCCCATAGATTGTCGATACCTTCGAGCATTTCACCAAAATCATCTTTATATTTACTTTTTAAATAGATCGAAACTACTTTTTTATACGCTGCTAATGGTAGTAGTAATATTGTTAAAAGTATTAACGATATTAAACTAAATATTATTGAAAGTAAAACGAATATTATGTTTATTCCGTTAATTTTCTTTAGAGTTTTTAATCCTGCGGTTTTTCCAAACAGATACTGTAAAAAAAGAAAAAAGTTTATTCTTAATTAATAAGAAACTTGAAACGATGTATAGATATTTGAAAAGCCCTTTTATTCCAATTGACATATTTAAAAAAGTTAATCTTTCACGTTTGTTTATTTTTTCGTTTTGAGTAAGAACAAATCTCTACAGTTTTTTCAAAAGTAGTGTCAACGAAAATCGCTACCTAAGAAAATATTTTTAAGGTGTTTTAGTACTTTTTAAGTTTTCTGTTTAAATATTTGATTTTTATGAATATTTAAGATTGTGATTGAGAATTTTGATTTAATTTATTATTATTTAAGATAATTTAACAAGTTTGAACCGTGTTTTAATGATATATTACTTAATTTGTCAATATACATATAAGATAGTATAAAAAATTGACTTGTTTATACATAGTTTTTAGACTATTTAGTAATTCTTAAGGTAATAGATATTTTTCAAACAATTCTACAAATTTAGGGGACTATTATTTCAAACAAACATTTTTTCGCTATTAATCTACGTGATACAAACCAATATTAACATTTATAGGTAATATAAATGTGTGTACATAATTAATAGTTATATATACATATAAATTATGGACGTTAGTAAGGCGGTTAAGACATGGAGCACAAAAAGTTAGCGAAAAGACGCTTTTACGAACATCATTGTTAGTATATGTTTGTTAAACCACCACTCTGTATAGTAGGTATATTTGTTGAACTAACTGTTAATATCAGAGCAAACATCGCACAGCGTAGTGTGACAATCTAAAGAGTACTCCTCTAATATGTGTTCATTACGGCGCAAAGCTAACTCAATAATAAACAATATGATAATAATCAATTGAAAGCACAAAGTAATTGTGATTATAAAATAATTACAAAACCTAAATTAACGATCAAATCTAAACACGACATATAGTCAAATGATTACAAGAAATATAAAGAGAAGACTGGACCAAAAATCTAAGGCGCCTGGCTTATTAGGCTTAGAAATGGATAAAGTTTCTTGATTGGAATGCGATATAACCAGAAAATATTGATGTTTGCTTAATTTCTGAAACTAATTTCCATCTACCCAGATAATACGGAAAGTGGCGAAAATGGAGTCATAACACATTTTCAAGAAACGGGTTACTACACAGCAAAAATACATTACTAGAATTCTTCTATTAAAATCAAAATAAAAATTAGAACTAGAACCAACACTAGAAAATACGTGGAAAAGAATCTTGGTCGTTACAATATAGTAAATGTGGAAATTCTGGGAAATTCAACAAAGTTGTACTTTTTTCTTTTAACCGAGCTTTCGGAATAATTTTATTCCTTCTTCAGGGCAACACTAATCAATTAAAACAAAACAAAGGCCAAGATTTACAATTAAAGAAAAATTAAAATTGAACAATACTTACAAATGGAAGCATAAAAAACCATATATAACTTAATCTTGGATACTCAGTTTAACACTTCAATACTCAAAAATATGATAACAAATACATTATCAAAGTTAGAAAAATTAAGCACAAAATAACGTTAAACTACAATTTAAAATTATAAACGTTTAAATTATAAAGTTCGGCACGAGCCACGTTAAAAGTTGTAAAAACCAGATTTACATGTAAGAACAAAAGGAACAATGAAGGGAAAAAAACGATCTTTATTTTACAAAAATGACAAAAAGTGAAAAACATTACAATTCCAAAATTTAATAACAAAAAACAATAAAATGAATTATATTTAAAACTGTAAAAATATCAGAAAAGCCAAATAAGTCAAAAAGTTAAAAAAAAACAACAACTAGAGTTATCTCTTTAGTTGTTACTGGAAGACCAATTATTAGTAATTAGGAAGGCATATAGAGAACTTAAATTTTCAGTATCCGTTCTAAACTTCACCGATCAATCTTCCCTATTAATATAAACCATTTCTAGAAAGAGTCTCTTATTGCAATTCAATTCTGTCTTAATCTTTCTTATGCTGGTTGATACGGCTAGATAAGTATTGAGAAGTAGTTCCCATTTATGAACCATCGCAATTGCTACATGGGATCTTATAGATGACATTTGACTTGGATAACAACGGTACAGGTTCTTTAGTTCTTGAGAATAGACAAGAAAGAGGTAAACAATTGGTGTTAGAAAACCTCAGAGTTTCAGAGGATAGTAGAGAATTCAGTTGTTTGGTGAGACCGATTAGATAAGGAATTTTTATATATTTAGTGATCCTAGTTGTGTTAACAGTATGTTGTGGCGCTGTCATGTCAATAATATTAATTTTACTACTGTTGTGGTTAAGGATGCCACCCAAAAGACGAGGTGGAAAGCCATTATTAATGAAAATGCTAAACAACCTTTTTTTATTACTTTCCCAAAAAACAGGGTTGGAAATTAATTTAATTCTATCCTGCATGGCGACAATAGTATTAATCTTTTGATTGATAGGATTATTGGAATAAAAATTTATGAATCTACCCGAGTATGTGGATTTAGTGTACCAATCCAAGATAATGGTCTGGTCATCATTTCTAATAACCTTCGTGCCCACAAAAGGTACATATGCGTTAACCTCTCATTAAAACCATTAAATACGTCAAGAACACTGTCAATCTGGTATGAGGGAACCGCACAGTATCATCATATCATCTACATACTTAAAGATGAAAGGAAAAGTAAAGTTGAGTAAAGGAACGCACTCATCCAAAAGATGATCCATAACCATAGTAGCTAAAATGGGGCTGAGAGGACTCCCCATAGGAGTACCAAATTTCTGACTGTAATTCTTTTTATCAAAAATAAAATGAGATGATTCAAACAAATACACTGTCAATTCAACGAACAGCTCTTTGTCAATAGATGTTGTCATTTCCAAAAAGTCCCACTTAGTAGTGATAAGTTTTTTTTACTAACTCTAAGGGAATGTTAGTGAATAATGAAACCACGTCAAGTGAAATCAATACATAACCTTGTGGTAACTTAAAATCCTTTATTTTATCAACAAAAGTAAACATGTTCTTGATGTTATAGGTGGTTCATTCACTGAAGGCCTGACTCAAAATTTCAGCTAAGAATTTAGGCAGTTGATATGTAGGTGAACCAAGAAAAGAAATAATAGGGCGCAAGGGACAGTCATGTTTGTGAATTTTTGGAAGTTCGTAGTATCTGAGTGCTACACCATTATTACAAATCAATCTGGCAGTTCTACCAGTAACTTAAAGAGTTTATTATTTCTGTTCTGTATGGTGGAGGTAGGATCCTTACTTAAAATTGTATATGTGGACTGATCATGGACTGAACATTACTTCTATTAATAAACCATCTGTCATTATTTTTACATACATTGTTAAGGTTAAACCCCTCTTGTGCTTTCTTAAACTTCTTTATAATTAATTTCTTTGTATTGTTAAAAATCTTTGTGTATGAGAAGTTTAGTTTTCCCGAGAAACTGGCTTGAACCAGTTTCTGGCGCCAAAACTCGAAAGTTTCTAGTGTTAGTTCTAACTTTAGTTCAATTCATACCGGCCGTGAAAGCCTTCGTACTTATAATGGTATCATATTAATTAATTATCAATTAAATTATTCAATTTTCATCAATTTTCCAAAAGAAGAGGAATGTAGAGATATTAAAAAATAAATTAAATATAATTAAGTAGTAATATGTATAAAATTCTGCGAAAGTAGTGGAAATATAGGTTGTGAACTCAGACCATTCCCCAATTCTTCCCATATTATGTGATTATACAATCCAAAAAAATAATTTACATAAGCAAACACACTGGAAAAGTTACAAAACTGATTTGGATGAACTAATTGATATCTTATTGATAGTCCTATTCAAAACGGAGGAACAAGTCGATCAAGAAATTAATGTCTTTGGCATGAATAGCTGGCACCTTGGAAATATACTCTGGAAATTAGATCTAGAACAAATGGATACAATTTTTTAAAAAGAGTTTAGAGATCTTATTTCAGAAAAATGCTTTACATACATATTTCAGGTGATAAAATAGTTCGTAATAATTGCTGCTAACAATTAGAATAAGAAACTTTTCGTACGCAAAAAGCAAGTAAGTATTCACACCTGGATCGAATCAGAACAAGAAGATAATGTTACTAAGCTTATTTCTCCAAAAGAGTTGTATATAAAATTAAAATAAATAATAATGATATTATGAAACAACTTCTATGGTTCTAGCTTTACTGAACTATTTAAAGCCTTCCTGTTAGAAAACTACCTTAGAATAAAGCAGAAAGAAGCATAATCGGATTTTAGTAAAATGAAGACAAGAGTAGTGTGCTACCTCCAATATTCTATTTATTATATAGGGTGTCTCACGACGTGACTGCCAAAGCTTAGAAGTGTAGCAGTAGTAGAATAAGTAGTAGTAGACCATTTAAAAAGAAACAGCTTTATTGAATTAATTGCTCAAAATGTCCACACAGTTGCTGTATACATAGTCTAGCTCTACGTAAAATTGAAGTGGTAGCTCTGCTAACAGTCTCAGGATCAGCACAGATAGTTTCTGCGGCATCCATAATTCTAGCCATTCTTGACTTGAAATCACCCCAGCAACACACTCTCAAGGTGTGGCAGTCATGTCGTGGGAAAGCCTGTATATCAGATGTACTACTCTTAAACATAGTACTACGATTGGGAAATACCATGAGGAAGGTTACAAAAAATTACAGACATTTATAAATCAAATGAACACTTAGGCCCATAGATAACGTATTAAGTTGAATGAAACCAAATCTTATCATGTCAACTTTGCCAGCATACCAACAAAGAGAGGACATATTTCCTTACAAATATATAATACTCATATTCCGAATGCCAACTTTGCAAAATATCAAGGAATTGCATTCATAATGAAACGTGATCAGCTTGATTTAAAATATAGAAAGATGTATTTAGGGCGACCACGAAACCCAAGTTGTCAAGATATAATAATCCGCTCCTGTTCAAGCATATACTGAAACCCGTTTGAAGATTATGAAGAATTTTTTGAA